GGAATCGATTTAATCGGGTAAGGGTGTGAATTCTTATTATCTCATAAATGTGTATCATTATGTATGTGTTGTTTGGATTGTTTTGGTTGTTTTTCAACATATTTCCATTTTAGGTCGAATTGGTTAAATCGATAGAAACCGATGTTTTCACGGTTAGAATTCAAAATAAATTGCATAGTTTAGTCGAGGAATGTTAGGCCGAGACTATTGAAACTTGTTTGGTTAAAATTTGGGTGAGTTCGTGGCTTTCTGACATTTTTGGATAATTGAGGGTTTGAGTAGCGAAGTATTCGCTAGGCGAGTCACTGGCCAGTGAGGTAGCGAAGTGTTCGCTAGGCGAGCACACAACGAGCTACCAGTGAAAACTTCCAGACTTGGACAGAACCTAAAAGACCAATATTCGCTGGAGCGAGTGGAGTAGTGAAGGACTCGCTAGGAGAACCATTCTGCTCGCCTAGCGAGCATGACAACACATCAATTTTTCTTCTTTTCCCATCCAATATCGATTCTTCAACTCGGATGTTGATCAACCTTATCCCGAAACGTGTAGCTTGTGTGTTGTTATATGATATGTTGTGGGTAGCCGTATGGCGTGAATCTTAGATTGTGGAATCTATTGTGAATTGTGGCCTTTTGGCAAATATATGCATTGATTAAATTAAATATAAATGCATGATAATTGTGATAGAGTTCATTGCTGTTTAGGTGGTAAAGCGATGCTCGTTGTCATTTGGCGTAATTGATGTGAATGTATATCGATTGTATGTGATGGTAGGAGATGAATGCATTAATATATTGTAAATATATATGCATTTCAAGAGTGTCTTGAGTTATTTTGCATGTGAAGCATAATGATGTACATTCTTGTGTTGTGTGATTCTAATGAGAATCCGTTGTAACGACGTGTGCCTATGTGAGGTGTGAACGATGATTACACACGATTGTGTGCCTATGTGAGGTGTGAGCAATCAGATTGTATGCCTATGTGAGGTGTGAGCAATCCATAAACATTATGTGCCTATGTGAGGTGTGAGCAATGGGTGAACATCGTAGGCCCGACAGGGAGTTACATTGGTAACGAGCGATGGTTCTAATAAGTTCCTGAGTGAACTTGAGATGATTGAGTCGGTACCGTATTACATTTGCATAGAGTCGTGAGTCAGTCTCTATGATTTGCATTTATCATCTTTATAATTGTGCATTGGTGAATAAACATAAATGTGTATGTTTATATGGAATGATAGACTTGTGGAAGTATGCATGATGAATATGCTTGGTTATATATATATATATATATATATATATATATATATATATATATATATATATATATATATATATATATATATATATATATATATATATATATACATTGTGATGTATATGAGTGAGTTGTGATTAATTGTGGTGAGAATGTAGAATATATATAATTATATGCATTGTTGTTATGATAATATTTCTCACCCTTCTGCTGTTTTATGGTGCTCTATGAGGCATTGCAGAGTAGGTATGCTGGAGGTCTTTTTGTGAAGCGTGTCTTCATTCTTTGGTCGGTCGGCTCTGATATGTAACACCGGGTAATTAGGATGTTCATTATTCTTTTGTGATACATTTGTATATGTATCTTGTTGATAAATTTTTATGAAAACATGACTTTGTTGAATCATACTGGATGATATATATATATATATATATATATATATATATATATATATATATATATATATATATATATATATATATATATATATATATATATATATATATATATATATATATATATATATATATATATATATATATATATATATATATATATATATATATATATATATATATATATATATATATATATATATATATATATATATATATATATATATATATATATATATATATATATATATATATATATATATATATATATATATATATATATGTTTGATGTTATTCAATGTTTAGATTTTCCGCTTTTATTCTAAATATTGAGATGTGGGTGTAAGGACTAAGTTTCTCTGTTGCAAAGTTACCCCACTATTGCATATCTTTTGTTGAGCAGGTGTTGTATGTTTTAATTTCATGCGTAATGTGACGCGCCTCTTTTATACTATGTTTATAATTATACTCTGATGAAATTTTTAATATGTGACTAATTGTTTATATGATTATTTGAGGGTATAGAAAGGGGGTGTTACATCGAATGTTTTCCAACACTTAGCGTTTTTTTTGGCACCTTGGTCCATCTTTCTTCGACTTGAAGTTTTCCTTGTTTGGGTCGAAACCCTCCCACATACCAGATATTGGTAATTTTGACCTAAGATAGCTCTAGTCTCGACTAGCGTCGAAAATTAGGAGCCAACAATAACAAAGAGAAGATAAAGAAGAATAAACTAACCTTAGGGAAGATGAAGATCGAAGAATAATTGGAGATTTTTGTTAGCAACAGACTATGGTGGAATGTCAACGGTGGTGAGTAAAATCGGTGTTGTCTTGTGAGAAGCATGTTAGAAAATCGGTGTTTCTTCAATTCTCTGTATGTAGTCTTTTCTTGATCTGATGCGTTTTCTGCAAGTGGTTTTACTTTCTTCCTTCACAAGATCCCAAAGATCTTGATAATAAAAATCATCTTCATCTGTTTGCACCAATTCTCCCAATTCTGACCCTTCAGAATTAGGAGACTCGCCGGAAAATGTCTATTCGGATAATTCATCGCCATTGCCATTGTGTTTTGCTTCCCATTAATCACTCATACAATGCTCTAGATACCAGATGTTCGAATTAAACCCAAGACTTTGAGTAACTCTGAATTAGTTTTGATGAACAAGATTCTATCAATCAATCGAATTTCCTCTTTCTCTTCACTCTTCACTTGAGTGAATCAATCAACCTTGGTTACAAGACTATATTGCTGCATAATGGTGATGAAAACAAGAAAAAAAATTAAATTGGGGAAGAAGAAAAAGTTTAAGGTTTTCACAAAATATGGAAGAAGTCTATATAAAATTTTAAAAAATATCAGTCTACCATGTCATTAAATTTTTTTAAAAATATCAGTGTGATGTGGCAGGATTCATGGTCGTCATTGGTTGACAGTGTAAAAATAGTTTACAATGTCACTATATTACCCATTTTCTCATTCTATTTTTTATAAAAATAAAAAATAATTTTTCTATTTTTAATAAGTCTATATAAAATATTTGTATTTTATTTTTGATAATATATATAAAACTTAATGTTCCTATTTTAATTAATCTATATATATTTTAAAAAGAAAATATCATTAAAATAAAATATATTTTTAAATTTAATTATATATTAATTTTTTAATAACATATATAAAATCAAATGTTATAGATTTTAACCTAATAAAATATGGAAAAAAAATTAATAACAATTAAATAATAGTTACACAACAACAATCAACTATCAAATAATTTCATTTATAAAAATCTAAACAAAATAAATAAAACAAAACTGTACAAAAATATAAAACAACCATAATAATAAAACTGTCCAAAAATATTTTGGGACTCGAACATACCTTAATTTGAGTGAACTTGAAGAAAATTTGAAGCTTTAGCTTAATGAACTTCTTCAATAAATCTTAAATCTTGATGATTTTAGATCTTAAAAAATAGAGAAAAATTACATTTACGAAATTAGATAAATAAACTGAATTAATAAATAAAACCATAAGAAAATTTACATTGTTGCAGAAATTGTGAGGAAGTAATGAAAATATGAAGAAGTTGTGAGAAAATAGAGAAAGAAAATGGGAGGAACAGAGAAGAATAGAGAGAGGAAGACGAAGAAAAGAAAAAATGATTTGGATATTGGGGGATGATGCAAGTTGTCTAATATATACACTACAACGATGGGAAAACACATTGTAAATAAAGTGATTATCGGGAGTTGCGACGTGAATCTCATGTCACTAATGTAAACTTAATTGCGACGTGTAGTACACCTCACTAAACTTCAAAATTCATTGCGTGTCAGAATGGTCATACATTGTGACGTGATATTAATGTCACAAATTTGAAATTTATTGCAACGTGAATACCACCTCACTAAATTTCAAAACGGTCAAAAAATGTGTCAGGCTGGTTGTGTTGGGGTTGGTCAAAAATATACATGTTAAAGAAGTCACACATCGCTTAGTTTTGTGAAGGAAGTGGGAGTCCAACGCTATATATTGGATTTAAGTTCTTCATTTTAAGATGTACCAGTCAAAAGCACTTTAAACTTATATTTGACTTTTTTATATTTTCTCTTATACTCTTGGTTTTAGAGTGTTGTGATAGGTAGTTAAATATTTTCTTTGGAGAGTGTGGGTATATTGGGGCCTTGAGATAGTTGAGGATATGTGTTATAATAATTTTCACATAGTGTTATTCGCTGGTTGTCATTTGACAACTGTCGTGGTTTTTTCTCCGGTTTTGGAGTTTTTACGTTAATCTCTTGTGTTGTTATTGTAATCCTATTTTTCTCTATGTTTGTTTTTCCTAACAAGTGGTATCTAGAGTCTTGGTTTGGTGGGGTATAAATTTTTTAGTATGCTCTGTGGTTGCAGTTTTAGCTGATCATCCACATCAGAAAAGAAATTTTATACTCTGTGTTGGTTGGGAAAATTTTGTTTTGCTATAGGGAAGGTTTTGGTTGAAATGTCAAGTTTTTCAAGTGCAGTGAAGATTGACTTAGAGAAATTTGATGGAATAATTAATTTTTTCTTGTGTAAAATTCAAGTCAAAGATGTTTCGATACAATTAGGATTACACAAGGCGTTGAAAGGAAACATTTCCAACATGGACAACAAGAAGTGGGAGGAATTAGATTTGAGAGCTTCAAGTACAATCTGCATGTCTTTGGCTAAGAATATTCTTGCGAATGTTCTTGGTACATCGTCAACCAAAGTGCTTTGAGAGAAACTTGAATGGCTATATCAAGGAAAGGGTATATCAAATCATTCATTATTGAAGGAGCAGTTTCATAGCTTGCGTATGGATGAACATACGAAAGTATCTGATCATCTAAGTCTTCTAAATGGTATTGTTTCTGAATTAGAAACTATTGGAGTCAATATTGATGATGAATATAAAGCTTTGAGACTCATATGGTCTCTTCCATCTTCCTATGAGCATATTAAACCTGTTTTAATATATGGGAAGGAAACTTTGAGCTTTGAAGAAGTTACTAGTAAGATTATTTATGAATAAAGAAGATTGAAGGGTGAGGAGAATACTTCATCAAACTCAGTATTGGATGCTATATGAAGGTCGTATGTGAAGAAAAACAATGAAACGAGGGCGAGATGTTGGAAATATGGAAAGCTTGGACATATAAAGTATAAGTGTCTCGGTGGGGCTGCGTCAGAGAAGGGCTTTGAGTTAAATGCTAGCAATGTCTCTCTCGCTGTGAGAGAGGATGATCTTCTCTAAAAATTAGGAAGTGTGTCCTCATGATATTTCTATTGACATGGAAAATGACGAGTTATTGCTAGGATATTAATACATGAGCATTAATGCAAAATGTGTTCTGAGATTATGTCGATGGTTGAAGAGCTTCTTGCCAACAAAGAAGTTACACCATAAAGATTCAACCTGGTTTTCGACATGGGAAAATTCTTGAAGTGGTTTAAATTCAAGTGAAGTATACTCTTCTTTAGGTGGAGTGTGATAGTTTTTGAAAACAATGATTGTTGGTGAAGACAATGTGAAATTCTTGGAGTGGTTAGCTTCAAGTGATTATACTCTTTATGGTGGAGTATGATTGTCGGTGAAGACAATGAAAGCTTATGTATTATTTTTAATAAAGATGGATATTGTTGGGGTTGGTTGAAAATATACATGTTAAAGAAGTCTCACATTGCTTAGTTTTGTGAATGAATAGAGAATCCAATGCTATATATATGATACAAGTTATTTGAAGTCCCTCATCGCTTAGTTTTGTGAAGGAAGTGGGAGTCCAATGTTATATATTAGATTCGAGTTCTTCATTCTAAGATGTACCACTCAAAAACATTTTAATCTTGTATTTGACTTTTTTTTTATATTTTCCCTTATACTCTTGGTTTTAGAGTATTGTGAGGGGTAGTTAAATATTTACTTTGGAGGAGTGTGGATATATTGAGGCCTTGGGGTGGTTGAGGGTAGTCTATGTGTTGTAATAATTTCCACATAGTGTTATTCTCTAGTTGTCATTTGACAATGAACGTGGTTTTTTCTCTGGTTTTGGAGTTTTCATGTTAATCTCTTGTGTTGTTATTGTGTTCCTCTTTTTCTCAATGTTTGTTTTTCCTAACAGTCTGTACCTCATGTAATATTCCATATTCCCTTAAATGCTCAATTGGGTGCCAGTTGAGATCAACTGAGTTCCTATGTACTCTATTTTCGTAGTTAGAACAATTGGAACTCCTAAGTGCTCTAAATATTATGAGTTAGGATTAATAGAGTAACTAGTCAACTTTGAAGAGAGAGCAACTATTAATGAAAGAGACAGACCAATACTAATAAGTATAAGAAATGACTTTTGGTAACACTATACTAATAAGTATAAGAAAGGACTTTTGGTAACTCTAATATTTGGTAAATTAGTGTGTGTGTGTGTGTGTGTGTGTGTGTGTGTGTGTGTCTATCTACATATATATATATATATATATATATATATATATATATATATATATATATATATATATATATATATATATATATATATATATATATATATATATATATATATATATATATATATATATATATATATATATATATATATATATATATATATATATATATATATATATATATATATATATATATATATATATATATATATATATATATATATATTGGTGGAAAGGGAAAAGAAAGGAAAAAGAAGAGAGGAAGAAAGAAGAAACTCTTGGAAGAGAAAAAGAAGAGCTTGGATTCTTCATCATCGTCAACTCCATCTCATTTTCTTCATCTCCAAGGTGAGTTCCATTAGATAGTGTAGCTTTGGGAGGGAAGAAATGCATGTTTGGGGATTTAGGATTTGTGCGCAAATATGTCAAATTGTGAATTAAATGTTGATTTATAATGAAACTCATGCTTAATGATGTTATAACATGCTTAAGTGAGTGTTTAGATGTGTTTTGGATTGTCGGGTGTTGAGGAATTGAGATTTTGGCTATGGAAGACTTTCCCTTCGCGCTGCTGGGATTCTGGTTTTCGTATGGGTCGTCGTGCAAGCTTAGGAGAGCTCTAGGAGACCTGAGTTTTCTGCTATGGTTGCGAGTTCCAGTGAACGAAAAGCGATCCCTCACTTTGAGTTCTCTAAGCGACCATAAGACAATTTCAGTTCTGCCTGTCCCTCGCTTTGCGATCGTTGTGCGACCATGATAGGGTGCAATTTTCCTGTTTCTTGTTTTATTCATATCTTATGGATATAGGTGTTTGATTAATTGAATAGTATTGAATTGAAATGAGTATGCAATACTATGTGAATAGATAAAGATGAACACCTAACATTGTGATGAGTACCATGTGAGTGGTTTGATATTTTGGTGAGGGGCTTGGCTCCCAAAGTCCTATTTATTATGATGATCATATGCCTTATGTGCATTATACATGTTAGATTTGTTATGTCACTATACGTATTTTATGTATGATATATGTGTATGTTCATATGTTTAATCGTATGATAACATGTTTAAAATAATATGAAGATAAATGAGGAAACCTAAGCCTAAAACTTGTTATGTCAGTACCAAATGATAACACTTGTATGATATTATTCTATATATATATATATATATATATATATATATATATATATATATATATATATATATATATATATATATATATATATATATATATATATATATATATATATATATATATATATATATATATATATATATATATATATATATATATATATATATATATATATATATATATATATATATATATTATACAAGGCGTTACACCTCATTTATATCAACAGGTAACATTTCCCACCTAAACTTTTTAATTTTTTGAAACCTACTAGGAACGTGTATTAAACGTCGCTATTTTTTTTTTGAAATTTTAAATTTCTCCCACATCAAAAGCTGCATTTCAGTTTTTTAATATTTTATGTTTTTATTAGCGACGTGTTTGTCACGTCATTAAAAAGTTTTCACCCATTTTTAAACTCATCAGCTGAAGTTCAATTTTTAGTTATTATTTCACTATTGCGACCTGCGTTTCACATGACTACTACATCTTTTAGTGACATGAATTTCACATGGTTATATCATGTGGCTAAAGCACATTTTTCTTGTAGGGGTTCTTGCTTAATTGTTAACACCGAAAACTTGGTCAAAAACATAATAGTAATGGGATAATTATGTTTTTTTGGCCATGCCTCTTATTTGTATTGGCTTTAACTGAAAAAAGTGAAAATGATGGAGCCACGAGCTAAAGGAGCTCCGCACTTGTGAACAATGCCAACGAAACGTGATGAGGACCAGGAAGCAACAACCAAGCGGGAGAATCCAAGTCATGTCTGGAAGGAAGAATCACATTGTTGTGACAAACGATACCAATTAACAAATTCTTGATTGAGAAACGAAGTTTCTTGGATGAACAATGAAACAATTAGAATAGAGAGAGAGAGAGAGAGAGAGAGAGAGAGAGAGAGAGAGAGAGAGAGAGAGAGAGAGAGAGAGAGAGAGAGAGAGAGAGAGAGAGAGAGAGAGAGAGAGAGAGAGAGAGAGAGAGAGAGAGAGAGAGAGAGAAGAAAGAATAAAGAAGAAAGAAGGAGAATAGGATTTTGGGCAACTATTTTTTATTCACTTTTTCATTTAGGGTTTACAAATGATTACAAATGAATAACACAATTGGCCTCTCTCAACAACCTGAAAGATCTAGCCTCTTTATAGACTAACTAGATAACTTATATTACACGCTAACTAAATAATTGGTTCCTTAACACAAGGCCCAATTCGACATTATAATTCTGACAATATACATTAGAACTGACTTCGACTATTGTTGTACCCAAAAATTTTCCCAACCTTTTTCTTTACTTGGTTTATGTTTCATTTGTTCTAGCATATTGCATTGCATAGCATTTTGCATTTTTACAAGGGATCAAGATATGTGTGTGCAATAAGAGGGAAGTGCCAAAGGTTCTAAACCTAATCAAGAGGTTGTATTCGAGTCAACAAGAAGGTTATCATCATCAGAGACAAGGCAAAGCCCTTTGGATGAGTAGATAAGTGTATGTGGTTCACCTCCTGTCTAGGAGGCCATTTGAAGGTCACCTGAGGATCCCAAGCCCATTGTCATGAGGGGAGATTGTAATTTAGACTTATTGGAGGCCTTGAGAGTCATTGTGGAGTTCATTCAAGTGTTTATGACAAGTGTGGAGGGCCACATTTGACGTTGGTGCAATTAGGGTTTTCATCTGGTCAACCCTAAGCCAACTGTGAGATTAAAGGAGATTAAGACTCAATTACAAGTCTTTATTTTAAAGTAATATTGTGTTAAGATACATGGGATATCATTTCAAGATCAATTCATCAAGAACCAAGAGTATGAGGAGTGACTGAATTAGGGTTCTCATGGTAAAATCCCCTATTCAGTGCCTAACTTCAAGACCACCTATCTCTTGATACAAGTCTCATCTCAACTTTTGACCAACATGGAACTTGTAGAGAATGTTCTTAGCTTTCTTTTGAGTACTAGAAGTCCTTGATTGGATTTATAGAACTCAAGTTATGATGCAAACAAGTTACAGGTCCTCAGATGAATGTGATTTTGGTCAACAAAAGTCAACCCACTTCCAAGCCATTTTTGACCTAGAAGGATGTTTCTCCTCAACTTTTGGCCAACATGAAAGTTGTAGAGCATGGTCTTATATTTCTAAAGAGTGCTAGAAGTCCTTCATCTGATTTGTAGAACTCAAGTTATGAGGCTTGCAAGGCATGGGTATTTTGGGAAAGCAAGATTACAGGTCATTTTCATTATAGGTCATTTTCACCACTTTGCACACTCCAAATGGAAATCTTTCCAACATCAAACTTGCTCCAAATGGGGTCATTTTTTGAGTGCAAAACACTTTTGGAATCATCTTGTATCAACTTTAATTCATTTGGAATCATATTTAATCAACTTTGTGCATTTTTTGAGTGCAAAACACATTTGGAACACAATGCCATAATTGGATTTGGAATTTGAGTGCATCT